ATTTCATGTAGTGTTATACAGTGTTTACTACTGGCGATTTATAATCTTTAGTTGTACTAATTTTTATCGCAAAAATACATTTTAAAGGGTGCAGTACTTTAAGGTACATATGGGTTATCAGAGGTTTAAATGTTTTATTAATCCTATTTCCAGATATATTCCAGATAGATCCAGAATTGTTTACCCAACTGGTCAATTACTATAGTCAATAAATGTTATTTATACTGTCGGTCATTAACAGTAGATAGAATCATATATTAATCAAGGTAATTTAAGTTAATTAAAAACAATGTCTAAAATGACATATTTTTATTAAATTAAAATTTTATTTTACTATATGCTGTTATAATTATAAATTATCCAATAGACAAATTATTATGTGAGGTTTTGTAGGAAGTTGGTACTTTAAAGATGATTGAATTAAACAATTTAAACATTTATTTTATTTTTTAATTTGCAAACATTTCTTAATAAACATTATATCCAATAATGATTATTATACTGTTCCTTAAATGAGTAAAATAACAAAGATTATATTATTTTTGACGATCAAAATTTCAAAATTTCTCATTTTTATTTATAAAATTAATTTTTTTGTAAACATCCGTTATATTACACAAACATATTATTTAAATTAGTTGTAAATATTATAGTATAATCCGTTAATTAATTAAATATAATATTTTAAAAATCAAATAATCCATTAATATATTTAAAAATTGATATATTTATTACTGAATTAATCAAATCTATTACAATAATTAGTTTATTTTGTCTATTATTATAATATTATTTTTGGATAATTGAATAAACCTTGGTACACTTTTTATAATTGAATTAAACTGTAGCAAATCACACTTAAATGACATTGATGTAAATTATTTATTTTAAAAAATAGTTATATAAAAATATGTTTACTTATTTTTAGATCAAAAACAGACATAAAAATATATTTTCTGTTATTACTACAGTATTTTAAAATTTTATATTTAATAATAATATTAATTAAAATAACAATATAACCATTAAGATTATAAATATTTAGCTTATTTAAATAAATATTTAGTAAGTAATAATGTTTTATAAATTGATTGCACAATATGAAAAAAGGATTGTAATAAATTCATTTAAGATTTAATCATTAATTAATAATTATTTTGATCAATAATGTAACGAATAGTCTTAAAAATAAGTATATGATTAAGCAATTAATAAGTTACACAATCAGTATATTAAATACCAGGATGATTTTGCACAAAATGTATTGTAAATTATAATTTTCCATTCAATTGCTAAACATTTATATTAATATTTTTACACAAGTATTTTTGTCTTAAGATAAATACAAATAAAAGTCAACATTTAAGTAACATTTACGTACAACTTATGTTTAGGGGCCAATATATATGCGTGAGATTCTGTAATCAAAACCATGTATAAAATATTGGTACTAATATTGCTATTGATTTATAACGTATTTGACGTCAACTGTGCGACTGTTGTCATCACTTCAAACGGAAGTGCCGGCGCGGGTGTGTCTGTGAACGTGTCCGCCAACGGGTCCGGCGGTAGTATTGGCGTCAGTGTTGGCGCGAATGGAGGCAACGGGAGTAATGGGTCCCCGGGAGGGGTTGGTGTTGGTTGGGTTGGCCCACCAGTGACCATGATTACCATACCCAACATACTGGTGGCCGACGTAGAAAATAGTACTTATATTAATACCGGTGGCGGAGGTTTTGGCGGTTATGGAGGCTATGATGGAGGCGCTGATGACGGCTATGGAGACGACGGCGGTGGATATGGATATGGAGATTAATTTATAACGTCCTCATGTGAATGTGGTTAATTTATTATAAAATATTATGCATTATTATTAATTAATTGGCAGATAATTTGAGTAAAAATTATTTAAAGATATATACAGTATTATCACAATATTACACATGTTATCAAAATTAATTTATTTATAATAATTATAATATATCTTACATTTGAAAAATAAAACTTAAGACTTAAAACTCGTGATAACTTATTACAATTTGTGATTACAAATCATGTGATCAAAGTTATAAAATTATTAATTTCCTTAAAAAGTATTATTAAAAAACATATAATCAATACTCTTATTAAATTAAACACACATTTATCATAATCAAAATACATTAAATTAATAGCATATCTGGAAAAAACGATGACAAATCTATTTAAACTCATTAATTTAACTAATCATTAATAATCATTATTTTGCTTTCAAATTAATTAAATGACAAAAAAATACTATACAAACAATTGTTAGCATAAAAAGCTAACACAAAAAACACCAAAAAACATGGTTAAAGTTTGGTATTGCCAGCGGTTTGATAGGCATTAAACGATTGATTAATGTGAGCGTTGATGGGTTGGGAGTCGTGTCCTACATGTCCCACATCTATGTAGACACTACCGGCGCCGGCCATCGATCGGACCCTATATTCAGGCAACGCGTTTCCGGCACCAGAATCTGCTTTCCAATGACTTTTCTTCTTATTATGATTACTATTATTATTGGTGTCCATATGTCTGCTTATATTATACTCGGTTTCAATGGACTTTCCGTTTAGTTTATGGCTAAATATTTGCGATTGTTTTCCTCCTCCGTTAGTCTTCGTCTCTTCCGTCACATCCTTTCGCTTGTCGTCCGTCTTATCCATCCGTTTCTTCTTCAATGCGAGACTCAATACATTACTCCAACAGCTCTCAAACAGGAGGTATAGTATTAGTGATAAACACATTGAATACAAGATTACGCCACCGGTTGAGTAAATCTGTATATTTTACACACAGAATAATGTTTGAAATAAATTTTTACATTAATGGTACAGTATATCTAATCGTAAATTTACTGTTGATGATAAAGTAAACTTACAAAATCAGTGTAGGTGAATCTAATTAACTCTCTGGTTTCCAATACGAAATACCAAACAACCAGAATATGGGTTAAGTATACGGAAAATGACAGTCGACTCAACGGTATGAAAAAGTTTGAGCCCAAGAATCGCGATATTAGACCTGAAATGCATTTTTAAAATCATACAATTAATGTTTTTTAGTGATTAAACGATCATAATGTTAAACATTAAAATTACTCTTGCTATTAGCTGAGCAGTAAATGGCGAGCCAAGCGTACGCTAGTATATACACAAATCGATGTAGGCCAGAATAGGCCGCTGCCGTCGCCTTACTGTACTCCCACTCGAGCCCTGTCCACAGGTATGTGGCGAAAGTGGCCGATAGGGTGCACACCGGCAACACTGACCACAATATCGTGTTTGACGGCCAACTGAGCCGCAAATCATTGCTTCTGGTCAACAGATAGCCGACCAAAACGCCGATAAAATATGTGGACAAATGATTATACGTCGGGTGGTATTGAGTGTTGAGGTCGCGGTAGAACTGATCCAAATCCGGTTCCTCGAAAGGCATAGGCATTGGCGGTCCGTTTGTCTTCAGATTGACCGCCGATGGTATGGCAATACCGCATAGTATGAGTCCTGTGCACAGCATTACACCGAAACCCTTGGCTTTACTTAAGGCGAGTATCGCGAAGAAGGATAGGATGTGGAGCTGAAAGTCGGCGCTCATGAACCACGTGTGCACTAAACACTGTTATCAATCGGGAAACTTATTAATTAAATTATCACGTTTATTTAATTCTATTTTATTCTATCATGCTTAGAAATATTAAAGTTAGCTTAATGTGTTAATTTGTACAGTTTTAGTTAATTTGGTATTATCTTAATTTTATTTCTAGTGTTTTATAATTTACTTAATTGTTTGATAAGTGTATGCATTAATGTGTGCATCAAATGCATTGTTTTAAGATTAGAAAATTGGCAGTAATTATAATTAAAATTTTAAAATACATTTAAATATAAGTGTAAATATTTAAATGTGAATCTAAAACAAACACATCATTTAACTTATTATTTCTGTGGGAATAATAAACATAATTTTGTTTGCTTTTAATTACAAATGAGATATAACTTGATATATGCTGTGAACCGAAAACAAACACAAATACTTAAATTGATTGCAAAATAAAATTGATTTTTTTCTCTCTCTTGAATAATAAACATAATTTTGTTTGCTTTTAATTACAAATGAGATATAACTTGATATATGCTGTGAACCGAAAACAAACACAAATACTTAAATTGATTGCAAAATAAAATTGATTTTTTTCTCTCTCTCTCTCTAAACATATTTATCTAATTATGATTTCAACACACATTTAGCACACCTGTCCCGTCCAGTCCGGTCCGGTCGTCAGCATATGCGACCCAAAACAGTGTTAAACATTGCATTTCATGACATTTCGACACATATTTAAGTGTTAACTGTTTTTTACTATCAAATAATCACGTATTTCCTACGGTTATAATAACGGAGTAAATCTTTTAATACATAAAACTTTTGTTGTTAATATTTTTTGTGTTTAAAAGTTTGTTTTTTAATTAGCAACAAATGTAATCTAATTTAACGCAAAACTATTATTTAATTTCCAAATCAAATGCAAGTTTCAAACAACAAGAATTTACAGATAAATTATTTTCATGAGAAACACTGTTTTATTTGTTTTTTGTCTGACAAAAGCCTTTTAATCCATTAATTAGATTTTATTACCACTTAATTATGACACTATTTAAAAAGCATTATATCCTTATATAATCCAGTGATTTATTTATGAAATCTCTTATCAATGGCTCAGAAATTGTTTGAATTATAGATTCAAATAAAATATTCACATTAAACCACAAATTGAATAAAAGACAAAATAATTATCATGATATAAAACCCTATAAAGTTATTGTTTGTTAACTTGGTTGACAAAAAATCAAATATATGGGACTGAATGGTAGGACAGGACGTTAAAGAGAGAGAGAGAGAGAGAGAGAGAGATTTTCACGTTTATATTAATGATAGCAAACTTGTAATTAATGATTGAGTTTTTGAATACAATATCAGTATTAATATAGATTTTTCCCACAGCTCTAGCAATAGACGAGACAATTGTTACATTTCTATTGAAAAAACATTTTTTTAATGAAAAAAGGTTAAAATGATAACTAAATAAATAATTAGAAAAATTATATTATATAATCATTAATAATATTAATAACAACTAAAACTCTTCGCATGGTTTACATTGTATGGGGAAAAGGGAGAGATTGTATGCGTGAAAAACTCAATCGATATCATTAATCAAAATATAAATTATATTTAATTTTTAATAAATGTCCTGTTATTCTATGAGAAATGTATATAATTTTCGCAATCAATATAGAAAACTAGTGTATATTTATCTGTTTGTCTATCCGTTTGTAATGATATCTCTTATACGATATGTTAGAAAATCATTAATCAAAATAAATACTAAATACTCGTCTCATACCATATCCGGCAGTAAAAGCCAATTATTAATAAATAACACATTTGTCCACCAGTTCCGACTGCACGGCTCAGTTAGCTCACGGGCGTAGCCCTTGAACACGGGTCCGGAGCCCATCAGTGGCCACATTATGTGCAAACATATGACGCCTATCATCGATGGTATGAACCGTAGCCATCGCTGAGCGATAAACGCGAATAGTGTCGGTCCGCCCGTCCTTTTGAATACCGGAACCGATATATATGTGACCACAAGACCCGACAGGAAGAAGAAATTGCCGACAGATATATAGCCATTGAATATGAATTGAGTGGACAATTGTTTGCCAAACTTTCGCGCCTCGTCTTCAAAACGATCTGAAAATGATATATATTTTTAGTGAAATTTGTTTTTTACTTTAAAATTGATTTTTGACTTTAGTTTTGCATAAAATATGTTTTGCTTTTATTTCATTTTTGTTAATTGAATTCAAATTATAAGAAATTTAATGCATTTTTAATTAAATTCGTTTTGTTTGGTGTTTTAGTGAGATTTAAAATCAAATTAATATTTTTTAAGACCTTTTTTGAAAACATTTTGCGATAAATTTTGATGGAAAAGCAATTTAAACTTAAATTAATTAATGAAATTTTAATTATACAAAAGTGAACTAAATTCCGGGCACTTAAGACACATTAACCCCTCTTTAGTGAACACATAGTGAATACATGTATATAATGTAATCTATTATATGCTTCTAATAAATATCTATTTAGACTAAATCTAATTAAATTGTAATTTAATATATTCTTGTTTTTAATTTCAATGCTATAAAAAATTAATTACTATTAACTTTTTCAATGCCTAAACTTATTTTATCTATAAATTGCCAAAAATAATATTAAATTTTATAATTCAAAAATTAGTAGCATTAAGACAATTGGTCTCTATATTAAAAATCGCTATTTTTCAGCACAAGCAAAATATATTTCACAATGTATGATACATTAATTTTTGAAACATGGTTAACTTACAGACAAGCATCGGCACGAATAGTGTGCCCACAGTAAACGTATGTATGCAAATGATCCAGATCATTGTCAACACCCGTACCCCGTGAACAAAAGCCAACTTTTCGTCCATTTTCTCGCGATTTATAAGAAATAATTTCTTGATGTTTGAAATGAGGGAAAAACAGAGAACGAGTCGCCCGATGCCGAAGGGCTCGTATTGAATACAATCGGTGGCAAACATTTCCAGTATAGTCGAGAATATAACTATTATTATCGATACCAATATTATAGTCCTATAGATTATTTAATGCAAGAATTAATTTTAAAATAATTTTGATTTTTGTATATTTAAATATGTGTTAAAGATTATGCAATTTAATTGGACATTTCTCACACATAAACAGCAATTATTGTAACTTATATTTAAATATTAAAATATCTGTCTTAATTTTTAGTGTTTATTTTTTAAAATTAATTATATAATTATAAGTTTTATTTTTTAGTATTAATTAAAGCACTTAAAAGTTTTGTGTTTCATTTATTTAGATTCTTTGTCCCAAAATATTGTTTTTTAAAAGTTTTCTTTGTTTTGTTTTGTATTTTGCTTTTGTTTTTAATTAAATTTAAATTCAATTTTAAGGCTTCTTAACAGCAAATAATATATTGATTTAATTAGAAGTCATTTAATTAAATGTAAACTAAAATAAAAGTCATTAATTTCATTATTGACACAAAACACTGTCCATAGAGTTGTATGCATTGGTAATTAAAAAGCTGTTTAAAAACATGGTTAAGTAATGAGAAAATAAAGTTTTTATTTGCTAACAAGTAAGAAACAGCAAGATGGTCACATTTCCTATTAATAGATTCTTTTTATTGCATTATAATAAACAAAATAATCACTTTTAAAATAATATAAATTGTATTTAGTTTTTCTTGTCTCCCATTTATCTCATCCTAAAATCTACTGTTAAGGCAAATAGCAATCAATTTTGTGTTTAAAATACACACAACTATTGTAAGTATATCTGCATTTGGATCACTAAATAAGCTAAAAAACAACAAATCCAAAGCAAAAACTAAAGTTTTTAATTTGCATTTTAAATTCAACATCGTCTCTCTCTCTCTCTCTCTCTCTCTCTCTCTCTCTCTCACGCTATAACTACAGTATAGTCATATAAGAGAGTCACACATATCTCTAGACAGGGATTCATTTATTAATTTAAGATTACTTATGAAATAGTATTCAAACTTATAATATAATTATCAGGTTTAGAGAAAGACTTGTATTATCGTTAGTGTTTAAGTTTTCATTTTTATCTTTTAATATTATCATATAATTAATGACTGTTTAACAGCAACTGTCGAGAGAGAGAGAGAGAGAGAGAGAGAGACGATGTTGATGATAATTATATTATAAGTTTGAATACTATTTCATAAGTAATCTTAAATTAATAAATGAATCCCTGTCTAGAGAGAGAGAGAGAGAGAGAGAGAGAGAGAGAGAGATGTACAATAAATATAGCAAGATCAAACTTTTGGCAAATAAAACATATCATTTAAACATCACTTACGCTGCGATCCGTTGCATAACATTGAGACGAGTTATAGCTTTAATAATAGTGAACACATTGCTATCACTCCTATAATCGCAATAATCAATACTAACATCAAAATAATCGCCGATATCTGGGAAAAGAGAGACAGATATAGAAATATTTATAATGTATTGCTTTGAATGACAACAAAATCACATCAAAATTTGAAAATAATCGCTCAAAAATTGATGGGAATATAAGGTTCATAGGCTATCACTAGTACTGTAAGTCTGAGACAACTAGTTGTATGACTACAGGGGTAGAGGAATGGGAGGCCTATGTATGGGAGGTTATTAAATGTGCTCGATCAATAATTATGATGTTGTTATCAATATTCAAGTGATTATATATCGAAATATTTGTATCAATACATCTCTTGGTGATGGCGTTCAGCTCTGTCTGAGTACAACTCGATGGCAGACATAAGCCATTGTAGACATACGTGGAGTAAAATCCGGTGGCGTATTGGCCGGCTATCCGCCGGTCTAACCACGTGTCGGCGTATTTGCTGCCATTAAGACTGATGACGGGTCGCCGGTAATTGATCCGACCCTTCAATGGAGGCATTGGTGGCCGCAGTTTCAGTAGACAGTACTGACCCCGGAATACCTCCTGTCCGTCGTCGGCCACAATGGTCTCCAAACACTGGTCGTAAGCACCCAATGATGATAGGGTCCCACTCATGAGTCCCGTCGGGAATTTCCCGTTTGCGTCGACCACTAGTTGAGGAAAATAGTAATTGTTGTGAATAATGTATCCATTGATTGATTGTTTGTTATAATTATTAATTAAAAGTTTGTTATATTTTGCTGTATATTTGATGAAAGTTTAGAAATGTTTATAAAGTGCTGAAAATGTTTGCTGTTTTCAAATTCATTAAATATTAAAATTGCATTTTTTGTGTCAATTATTATATGATTGTTATTCTTATGGGAGACGAAGAGATGATAAGTTATATATTTATATTTTATACTTAATGTAAATATCATTTAAGCATAATCTCCAAGAGTATCGTCGGTGCCATTAATCCCCGCATAAAATATTCACAAAAATACTTTTCATTTAATACAAAAATTGAGTTTATTTTACGGCAAAAAACGGCTGAATATAATCTTATGATAAAAAGCGAATTATATATTCATTATATTCTCACTAATCGTTTGTTAATTTTAGTTCTCATACCATAACAGACGGGAAAACTTTATGAGAGATTCAAAAGTTGTTATTTTTTCAGTTTAAATATTCATGAAAATTATGATTTTGACGCTAAAAACAGATTTAAAACTCATTATTAAATAATGGATAACAGATAATAACATAAAAAATGCTAAAATCTAGATAAACATCACAACATTAGGAGATGTTTCCACTGAAAAACTTAATGAAAAAAACCCAAAAAACATGCCATCAATAAAGAAATATATAAAATCTCAACAAAAAATCGTATTAACTCTTATAGTAAGGGAAACAACAAAAATATCAAATTATACAATATTTAGGCAAAAGACTTATCGTTAATAATCTAATGGAAAATAAAAAATATAAAGATTTTCTCATTTAATGTAATCAAAAGTTTTATATGAAAATTATATACGGATTTTTTTCGCACACATTTTCGTTTTGATTTTTTTGCCCCTTTTTGTGATTATATTGAAAATCATCAACAAATCTATTTTTAATTAAAATGAATTACTTATGCCTTTCAGAGATCCCAATAGATTACATGATATGTTAGGAAAAATAGGACGAAAAACTGTTTTTAACATGTTTAGCCTCAGACTCTCTCTCTCTCTCTCTCTCTCTCTCTCTCTCTCTCTCTCTCGTAAAGTTAATACATACTGTACTCCTATCCCTATTTATCTCAAAGTCGATTCGTTTTATATATTAAATAAAGTAAAATAAAATTACTTCTAATGGATGTTAAGAATCAATACATAAATTGCTAAATAAAACCTCTATTTTAATCGATTAGATAATAATAGCTTTCGAGAGAGAGAGAGAGAGAGAGAGAGCGCCGGTAACCTCTGGAGCGCCGACACTGAGCTCCACAACTATGTCGACCACAACTAAAACTGTGCCAAACAGTGTCACTAAAAAGGTATCGAAAAGTGCGAAACAAATGTCCGAAGAAGACGACACTG